GCTGTTCTTTTTCAGCTCTCCTCCTCCTCCTCCCCCTCCGCATCGACTACAGATGACAGTTCGTCTGACAGCTCAGACGTGGATGATGATGCGGATATTCCGGACTTGCCTTACCCCTCCTACCCGCCCCTTCTCCATGGTGATCTGGAATGCAGCACTGTTCGCGTCATGCGGTATGGAGGGGAGTTAGCTAAGCAACGGTATCGTAAGTTCTTGCACTTGTGTGACCGGTCTGACATCGTGTGCGCGCAGGAGTGTCATGGCCACGAGGGGGACGTGGAGTGTCTGCGACAGCAGTCGCGTGGGAGCAACATCGGTGCGACGAGGAGTGCGTCTTCTGTTGAGGGAGGCATTAACACGATAATTAAGAGTTCGATTGCGGCATGTCCCGCTAGTGTCCAGCACCGAACTCTGCGAGAGGGACGCGTGCTGCTCCCGCAGCGCGATGGCCCCAAGGGGTCACCATGCGTGATCAACGTGCATATGCCGAATACTTGCCATGGGCGCCCTCTGTATCGACAGGTGCTCTGTGATGTGTGCAGTGCGCTACCAACAGCTATGACATGTTCCAACTTGATTGGGGGAGATTTGAATTTTGTTTTTTTTTGGGGGGCGACAGGCAGATGGCGGGGGGCCATGGGAACCTGGGGACCGCTGGCACACTCAGCTCCTTGGGGCTAAATGTGGGAGATGGGCGGAACTCCGCCAACCTGATCCGACTAGACATGGGTGGGGCAACGACGGGGGTACACACACGTCCAGGCTATATCGCATCTATATTGACCTGCCTCGTGCCCTGCTGTCTGATTTGACTCAATAGGCAAAGGTATGGAGTTGGCCGAAGCGCTTTGGACATTCGGACCATTTGCCGATGGTGGTTACCTTTTTCAGCCTGAGGACCCTCGGGAAGCTCAGGTTGTCCCTGCGTGTCTCCGCAAGACCCCGACTTGTCGTGACTTTGTGAAGGAAGCTCTCGAAGGCATCCCCCCCCCCCCGACCGGCCCCCTCTGAGGCGCCTCGAGGCCGCCAAATCTTGCGCGCATGATCAGGTGCGTTTGGCGAAACAGCGCTTGGCGATTAAACCTGCGTCTACTCCCGAGGAACGGCATATCTGGGGTATGCGTGCGATCCGAGGCTGGAGGTCTGGAAACTTCGACCTTGTGCGATCGGCGGTATGTGCGCTCCCTATGCTTACGCAGGTTTTTGACGTAGACTGTGAGCTCTGCGCGGACTTTGCTAAGCAATGTTGGTATGCGCGCTGGTGTCGCTACACTGTGCTGGAGACCCAGCTAAGTCAGGAGGTTGCCGACGTTCCGGCCGGCGAGGAGGCTGAGGCCCGCCAGCAGCAGGCCATCGCTCGCACTCGGTTTAGGATGCAGACCTGGCGCCAGCTCCGACGGCGCGTGCACCTGCAGGGGTTACTCACCGACGACGAGACACCGCGCACCTCTGTGGAGGAATCTGGGCGGGCGCATGCCAACTATTGGGGGGGGGGGGGGGGGGGGGTGGGGGGGGGGCATTTGCAGCAAAGGATGGGGATATGACGAGGTGGGGGAAGTTTCCTTGAACACTGCCAATCTGTGTGAGCCTTTAGTGATGCCATCGAGTGGAAGCTCGATCGATGAGATTTTGCCCGTGCTATTCGGGCCAAGAAAAACGCGGCCATGAGACCCGACGGGATCCCATATAGTTGTTGGCAGCTAAGACCTGCGGCTGATATACTATACGATGTGTATTCGGACCTCTATGATACGAGCAGCACCGACTTCCCTGTGGATATGAGGCATGTGCTACTCACTTTCTTGTCGAAGGGTTCGCATCCGAATGATGCTGGCGACTCTGTCTGTCGTGAAGCGGGCAAGGTCGGACCTCTGGCGCTTGCCGATGCGTCCTGTAAGGCTATGTCGATGGGGATGGGGGCTCCACTTGCAACGGTTGCGAAGACGACGGCGCATGCGATGCAGACGGGGGGAGTGGGTGGGAGGAGCCTTATCTCTAATGTGGTGGAGGCGGAGGAGCGGGGGCTGCAACAATGGATGAGGGGGTTGCCTAACTCTGCGCTGCTACTGACCGACTTTGCTGCTGCTTCCCCCCCCCCCCCCCTCTTCGCCAGCTGGATCCTGATTGTCCTCAGCGCTATGGCGATCCCGACTCCAATCGCACGCCTCTACGCGGCTCTCTACACAGACAACGCAGCTACGATTACACTCGCAGGGCGAAGGTTGGGCACCATTGCCGTTGCGCGGGGAGCGCGGCAGGGTGACCCGACTAGCATGTGTTTATTTTCTCTCGCGTTCGATCCAATCTTGCGTTGGGTTCTGATGCATGCGAGTTCTCACATTGATCGTGGATTGGGGTATGCCGACGATCTTCTCATTGGGATACGCGATGTTTTATGTAGCCTGCCTCGGGTTTTGGAGCTTCTGGGACGCTCGAAACCAGTGTGGGGCTTCGGCTCAACTACAACAAATGCCAACTTGTCCTGACAGGCGGTTCGACTGTGTCTGCGATTACGTCGTGGTTGGAGACTCTCGGTGGGAGTTACGGTGCGCTGCAGGTTGCGCTTCGCGCCAAGTATCTCGGCACCGAGATAGGACCTGAAGGGAAGGGGCGCGCTTGGCGTGGGGCGGTCTGCGCGTTTCAGAGACGCGCGCGTGCACTGCGGAAGCTCGGGCTCGGGCAGGCGACCACGACTGCCATGTTCTCTTCCACGTGTCTCTATGCGCCTGCGTATGTGATGCAGTTTTACGCTCCCGCGCTTGCCGTGCAAAAGGCACATAATGGAAGCCTGCAACTACTGGCTGCTGCCCCGAGGTTCTCATTCTCGCGCTATATGCTGTGGGCTTGAAGTCGCCAGGGCTGCCTGCCGAATTCCCTGCGCTCATCTCGTGCGCCCGTGCGGTGCAACTCCGCGCGGCCACGACCTGCCCGTCCTTTGTGGTCGTAAAGACCCGACTGGAGGCTGCGACGCCGATGGGAAGGATGCGGGAGGGGTTGGAGGATGAAGTGTGTATTGTCAGGACGTTCAGTGGTTGGTGGAGGACATCCTTCTTGTATCAGATGTGCAGTTTGAGCAACGGGTGCTCTACCATCGTAGCTGCCGTGCCTGGCGATTTCCCAAAGAAAAGCTACAGCGTCGTGTCCTTGCTGCACCCGGCTCGCGGGGCCCTGTGGATCTCGACGAGTGCCCCGAATCTGGACTACTCCGAAGGATCTCGGCTTGGCCCCCGCCGCCGCGCCCCCTAGAAGTCGCCCAAATAATTGGCACAATACGTTGTGTTGTGAAACGATCTAAGATGTGTATTGGACTCGCCCCTCTTCGGATTGCATGCCGCGGTGTTTGTACGACCGCCAGGTTTCACGCAGTAAATCGTCGGTGCGCGCTCGGCTGTGTTACCCCCAGGGCCCAGACTGTTGACTTGGACGATATGCAGCACGATGCTGTTTACCCGCGCGTTCAGGACATCAGCAGGACGTGGCTCGGACCAGTTGTGGAATATGTCGACACCCTTATCCCTCCTCACCCTTTTGAAGCATCTGCCGTCGGCAGACGCCATTCTTTGCTTCGCATATGTGTGTGAAGCGTTTTTGCACACTCACTCTCAGAAACGAGTGGGTGGCACGGTGGAGCCTGCCGCCGTCTTCGAGGCTCGGATCCGCCTCCACTGCAGGAGGCACAAAACTTTACAGAAGGCTTGGGCGAGTAACTCAAGGATGTTCAGAGACGCTGGGGGGGGGGGTGAAAAATCACCATCATCACCATCATCATCATTGTCACCATCATCATCATTGTCATCCGCATCACCATCATCAACATCAACATCACAGTCAGCATCCTCGTCCTCTTCCTCCTCGTCATCCGTATCATCACCATCAGCATCCCCTTCCTTGTCCTCCTCCTCTTTCTGTTTCCCGCCCTCATGATCCCCCCCTGTCCCCCCTCCTCCTCCTCTTCTTCTTGGTCCTCCTCATCCTCCTCATATTCCTCCCGCTTCCCCATTCCTTTTCTTATACATAACTTCTCCCTGCTGCGCCCCGAGGCCAGTTTTTAGGGCGGGCCGGGCGTTTTGCCTGAGACTTCCTCACCACTGATGACCCTGGAGCTCAAACATTGACGCCAGTTTCACAGATGGAAGGAGGGTGGTTTTCAAAATGTGGCTTTCGCCGTAGCGCAGCGCACATTCGTTTTACCAATTTGAAAGAGGTTCACGGATTAGGGCGGGTGGTTTTCAAACTGTGGCTCTCGTCTTACCGCCGAGCACACCCGCTGTAAAAAAATGCAGGAACTTCGCGGATTGAGGGCGGGTCGTTTTCAACATGTGGTTCTCGCCTTAGCGCCGTGCGCATTCGCTTCAAACATGTGCAAGAGCTTCATGCTTTGAGGGCGGCGCCTTTTCAAATTGTGGCTCTCGTCTTAGCGCCGCGCACACTCGTTTGAAACATTGGAAGAGTTTCACGGATTGAGGGCGGCTCATTTTCAAAAGGTTGCTGTCGCCTGAGCGCCGCGCGCATTCGTTTCTAACAGTTGCAAGAGTTTCACGAAATCCCACGATCAGCAAACCAGAAATGGCGTTTCGGAAGGATTCAGGATTATGAGGGTGCACCAGTTACGCCGGTTCGCGGTGTCGAAATCCCAGGACTGGTGTTTTGGTACGATTCAAGATCGTCAAGACGCATCAGTCAGATTGATCTGTGGAGTTGGAATCCCGAGAACAATTTGTTGGCATGTTTCAGTGGTTCAGGGTCTTCATACGCTTGCTTTCCAACGGTGCAATCCCTTCAGTGGAAATGAACCTTTTATATGGGGCCTATGAAGAGGGAGCTTGGAGGCAGGGTTGATTCCAACATCGTCGATGACTCTTGGGTTTCCACTGGTCCTCCTCCTCATCCTCTTCTTCCTCCTCCTCCTTCTCCTCCCCCTCCTCCTCCCTTCTCCTTCTCCTCCTCCTCCTCCTCCTTCCCCCTCGCCCCCTGCGCGCGCGCTCCCGCTCCTCGGCCAGGTCGGATTTTTTTTTTGCGGCCTTCGCCTCCGACATGGTGGAGCGGGCGACGCTGCTCGTGACGCTGCAACACGTGCGCGGCGAGGCGCCGAAGAGGGAGAGCGTGCTGGCATTGCTGCACTTCCTGTACACAGGCGGGGCGGCCTCTGGCTCAGGAGAGGGCTGTGCTCTGCGTGCCGCCGGTGTCGAGCATCGGACAACAAGCAAGTGCATGAATCTACTTTCTCGGAGGTGTGCGCGGATTTCGTGGATTGCCAATCCAGGAAATCCGCGCGGACCTCCAAAAAGTATGCTAACATTTGTTGTGCTCCCATTGAGCAGATTGCTGCATTCTGAGGCTTGTCGCGCCATATGTAGACACATACGATATGACATCCAGATGTAAGGATCTAAGTGCACGTTTATCGTCAGGCTTAGAGTTCCTCGGGGCGCCCCAGGGCTTCTGTGGGCCTCCCAGGGCCATCGGGGGATGTGAAATTTCCGTGGAGAACCTGCTGGCAGGCCGTTCCGTTGGAGTCATCCACAGCAGAATTTCCTATGAGGCGGCCTGCTTGCGAGCGACTGCCAAACATCCACCGCGGCACAGGCTAGCAGATTCAGGCAGAGCAGGCGGTGTTGAGCGACAGCGCACGCGGTACGCCAGCTACGCGCAGGTTTCGAGTAGGAGATCGACTACGTAATAAATGTACCCCACATTTATTTTCCGCCGGTTATACGAACATTGCGGATAGTGCCCCGTAGATCTACAAGCATTTTGCATATTTTCGTCGACTCAATGAAGTTACTGCTGGGGTATATGAATTCTTTACGCTTCGCGTACCCACACCAGCCCATCTCACAGCAGCACCTCTCGTGAAGCATGCCGACAGTGGTGTGTGTCAGGCGTGTGTCCGGTGGGCCCCGCATAGCTCCCCTGTTCCTCCTTCCTCCCGCCTCCGTGTAGTGGTAGTAGTAGTAGTAGTAGTAGTAGTAGTAGTAGTAGTAGTAGTAGTAGTAGTAGTAGTAGTAGTAGTAGTAGTAGTAGTAGTAGTAGTAGTAGTAGTAGTAGTAGTAGTAGTAGTAGTAGTAGTAGTAGTAGTAGTAGTAGTAGTAGTAGTAGTAGTAGTAGTAGTAGTAGTAGCAGTAGCAACGACACGACAAGTTTCAGTGGCTGTAGATGTAGGTGTCGTGGTAGAAGGAGTAGTGCTCGCAGTAGTAGTAGTAGGATTAGGAGGCAGAGCAGCAGTAGTAGGATGAGTAGTAGCAGCAGTAGTGGTAGTAGAACTCGTAGTAGCAGTAGAAGTAGTAGTGGGAGTAGTAATAGTAGGAGTCGTCGTAGTAGTCGTAGTAGTCGTTGTAGTAAATGTAGACGCAGTAGTGGTAGTGCTATCGCCGACGAGGAACCCCAGCGAAGCATGCCGACAGTTGTTTGGTGCAAGCGTGTGTCTGTTTGCCTGTACGTGTATTCTATGGTCCGAAGCAGGAGGAGTCGGAAGAGGAGGCGGGGGGGAAGGAGTTGGGAGGCCAGTCAGAGGGCGGTCGTCGTCGAAACCAGCGATCTTTCCCGACCAGCGTTGTTGTCGTTGCCATTCTGGCTTCTAGTATTGGAGTGTGGCTGTGAGCTTCGCTCCGCCAACCCGTAAGAGTCTCCGCCTACTAGCATCATCTTTGCGGTTGGCATGGAGAAGCGCCTGTGTTTTTTTGTATTTTTGCTTGCCACGGGGGCTCCTGGGAGCGAGCGCGCAGAATGTTGGTTGCCGGCACTCTCGCTTCATGTTGAGCTTCGACAGTGCGGTCGGCGCGTGGCACTTTGTTTCCCATGGCTTCGAACGTGATGGCCATGACGATGACGACGATGACGAAATGACGACGACGGCGACGACGACGACGACCACGACCACCACGTCAATGGTGACTTGGCTTGCGACCCGAACGCACGCGCCTACTGTGTTTTTGGCACGAGGTGGCTTGTGTGCGCAAGTACCGCACGTAGCCCAGCACCGCTACGGCCTCTTCTCTTTTGCATCTGATGTGAGTCATATCCTTCTCCATTCGCCCCGCGTTCGTGTCAGCAGGTCGTCGTGGCGGTTAGCGCTCGGTGACATGCAGGCACGGCGGTCATCGCGAGATGTCTCAGAGACGCGCCACTCCCGAGATTTTTTCTCGGCACGATCCATCGTCATTGCGACATCCGACCATGGATTCCCCTCCACACCTATACACGCATGTATTCAATACAGAAGCACGCATAAATCAAAGACGTTCCGACACACATCAAGAAGTCACAAAAAGACATGCACAGAAGTCCACGTTGTCCTCCTCCTCTTCCCAAGAGAGCACGAGGGGTGCGCCATTTCTCCTTTGGATGTTGAGTAGGCATATGTCGAGGTCTGAGAGTCGAAGTTCCAAGTGTCGTCTGCCGCGCTCGCGTGCAGGTGACGCGTGGAGCGTTACGCAACGTGTGGGCTGAAGTGGTTCGCCTTGTTTTATGGAAAAACGGGACACCGTAGATTAGGTCGAACGCTCTTCGAAGTCGTGCAGGAGTGAAGTGTGCTGAGGGGTCTTGCAGGTATGCAAGAGCTCGAGGCTCTCAACATGAGTGTCGGCGTATCCCGTCACAGTCCATGTAGTGGCTGGAGGCGTATCGTGCCTCAGGGTATCCAGGGGCCTGGGGTCTAGCTCTCTCGTGTTGCAGGTTTCCCCGATTGTCAGGATATGGTGCTATACAAGGTTGTGCGTGGTGCAGTTCCAGGTATCTTCCAGGGTTATCACAGGGTGTCCACGTGTAGCATTGCTTCGAATGGACACTACAATCTGTCGGCGACTATCGAGTGCCATGTGCGGACACGTCAGGTTGTGTTGCTTGTGCGGTGTCCTGTGGAATCGTCTGCGATCTTCTCCAAGTTTGGTGTTCGAGTCAGTGCCCCCCGGCGACGACGACGACGACGACGACGACGTCGACGACCCTGCCGCTCGCTCGGGGCGGCCGTCTTGGTTGCTGCCGCGTTCGTTTTCCCTCGAGAAGTATCCCGACGATTCTTACGTTTGGCTTCAAGGGCGGCCTACGCTCCCTCGTTCGGTGTCTTGTTTTGCTGGGACGTGTTCTACGAGTCGTTCGGGCCGTTCGTTCGTGTGTTCTGCTTCTCGACTTTTCTGTGCGTCCCTGGGGCCGTTCGTCCTGGCGTTCGTCGTTGGGGCCCTTCCTTGCGCGGGAGTCGCTCGAGATTCTCGGGGTGTTGCAGGTTCGGGCGCCGCGCCCTGGTGTGAGTTGTTCCGCCTTCTCATTGTTTGTGAGTGGTTGGCGCGTGTTGTGGTCTGCGACACATTTGGGCTCTTCCTTGTGTGAGTCGTTCGGGCTCTTCGTCCTGCTGCGAGTCGTTCGGGCCTTTCCTTGCGCGTGAGTCGTTCAGGCTCGTCGTGGTGTCCGTCGCCCAGGCCCGTCGTCCTGATGAGAGTCGTTCGTGTTCGTCCGCGTGTGTGAGTCGATCGGGCCTCTCGTGGCGTGAGCAGTTCGGGCTACTGGGGCTAGTGGGAGTCGTTCGGGCCTTTCCGCGTGTGTGAGACGTTCGGGATCGTCTTGCAATGAGTCGTGACCTCTGGTAGAATTGGAATCGGTCGTTCCGCTCTTCGTCTTCCTTCTCCTTTTCCCTCTCGGAGTTCTTGTGGTGCGGTCACGCAGGCTTTCACGTGAGTGGTTCGGTCCAAGACGCCGAAGGCCAAGGGGCGCCCAGGAGGGCCCCAGCGCCACCGTCGCTGTTGCCACTGTGGCTCACAGCATTGCGGTTCGGCTGTGAGCTTCGCTCCGCCCATCAGCAAACGCTTCCTTCTCCAGGTTTCCTTGCTGTCGGCATGGAGAGGTGCCGGTACGCCCTGCTACTTTGGCTAGCATAAGGGGCTCCTTGGAGCGAGCAGGGCGAGGAGTCGGTGATCATGCCTCCTTCTTGTGGCAAGGACCGATCGTCGCCGCACTGCCGTCGCCCAGCATACATGGCGGAGTGCTTGCCGCCAGAGCTCGTTCTGCGCATAAACCTGAACGCCGTCAGAGCAATAGTGTTCACGAAGCAGGCTCTCGCGATCAAAGTCGCTCACATTGCGAAGAAGCCGATGCAGGATGGCAGCGGTGACCTCAATTGCATGAGGAAGCTCGTCGCTCAGGTAGGCGCGAGGTTGTATGTCCATGTGTGCAGCATGCACCCGTTCACCGACCAGGACGCTCGTTGGCGCGTAGACTTCGTCGGCGACGATGCAACTGTGAAGCGTCGCATGTCGGGGATGATAGGTACGCTGGAGTGTCGAACATGGGCATCCAGGGCAATGCGCGTAGCGCAGGTTTTTGAGACCCTGTCATTGCTCACCCTCGCGAGAGCCCACTTAGTTGGAAGCAGTTTATCGGAGCGGATCGCTCTATGTCGGCACGGCAGCGCCGAGAAACGAATGCGCTATTCGCATCAGGCGCAGTGGACTACGAGCAGTCCTTCCTCTTCGGCGGCATCGTCCTTGCCCGCGAGAGCTTGCTGTGAAGGGTTTGGTGTATTTCGCTGGGACGATGGCGGATCTCTCGTGCAACAATTCGGCAGGTTTGTTTGGTGCTCCGCGTGGGTGCATTGGGTCATGTGGTCAAGCTGATGTCTAGGCGCTAGGTCTCACTGGAATGGCTGATAGGGTCACCCAGTCCGACCAGATAATCATCTCGTTCGTATCTCTGCAAGATCAGTGCGAAGCAGATTGGCAGTTTTTCCTCGGCGGGTGCGCTTAGAATTCCAGGCGGTCCGCTACGGAATTGCCGAAGGAAGAGCGTTGGTGGTGCGTAGCAGTGATGTTGCTCGAGGACCCCGACGGCGGCGGCATGGGAACGTCGAAAGCGGCGACGACGACCACGACCACGACGGCGACGACGACGATGACCGCTCGACGTCGACGACGACGACGACCACGACCGCGACGACGACGCCGTCGCCGAAGACCACGACGACGACGACGACGACGATTCGTCGAGGACGTCGTCGAGACAACGACGACGACGACTACAACGAGAACGTGAATGGCGACGCTGACGACGCCGACGCCATCTCGACGACAGGGGGGGCACTCCTGGTAGCGCTTTCATTCTGGAGAGCGAGCGGAACGCTCGCGGCCATCCTTTTTTGTGTCTCGA